TTGTTTCCCGTTTCTTTGTCCGGTTTGAGAATCTTCTCGTGTGTCATGGCTAGGGTTTGCTTATAAAGAGTTTAATCTCAAGTAGTCAAGTGCATTGATATCCGAGAATATTACAATTGTTACAGTAGACAGTTCCCAAATAATAGGATGACTAACTAGAATACATGAGACGTGGAGATAGTGAGAAGAGACCGAGTCAAGATGAGAATTAATGAGACTAACTAATTCAACATGAGGATCTAACGGAATATTTCTATCGTAGGCGTTAGATCAAGAGTGTGTTGACTTCGTTTGCATCTATGCTTAAAAAAAAAGATTGTTTTCCTTTGTATGAGATATTTGATATTTTCCTTTGTTAGAGATGATTACTCCCTAAAACAATCGCTTAATTTTCGAGATTTAGCTTCAAATTTGAGATATTGAGACAATGCATCAAGTTTCCTTTATTCTAATTAATTGTTACTCTCTTTAGTTAAGAACTAATCTCAATAACTTATTTCAATTTCTCTCCCCATGTGAATAATATATAAATATATAATGGTGTTAACAGAGTTTTGAAAAGTATGGTATGATCTTGAATAATGTTCATCAGTTCATGGTTTGCCAATTGGATGCTTATCCAGTTCACTAGTTTACGGTTTGATGCTTCGCCAAGTTAGATAAAAATCTCATTTTCTTGAAAAAACCAAAATTTCAACAGGTTTCAGAATTAAACAATCATCCTCTTCTCTACGAGATTATGAATAAAACCGGTCTGATGCAAAGAAGGCCACATGCAAGAACGAGATGATGATCAGTGGAGTTGTAATAGCTAGTAGAGTAGTAGGTGTAAAATCTGATGCAAAGAAGGCGACAAGTAACCAAAGATTCATGTCATCAAGTAGTAGAAGCTAAACGTTTAATTTGCCGCCACTATCGTCATTATTCCGGTTGAAACGGCGGTTTTGTTGCCTTCCCGTCGAAGTTATTGGTCTCAACGTAGTCGACGTAATGTTGGGTGTTTAGAGCTTTAGTTTAGCTTAATTTGAGAGCTTTTGTTAATTCTCATACATAATCTTGCTAAATGGATAATGATAATATTCTTTAAAAAATGTGACATGCTTGCATATTTCCCTACGTGAAACTTGAAGTACTTATTTTCTCACCAAATTTGATGTATTTGACTTAATTTGTTGTGTAGTGTCTTCCACGTTCCTTTTTCTAATCTAAAAAAAAAATACAAATTACCAACCATATGATTTAAGTGGTAACTGTACCACGAAATTATAGAAGCAAACAATATGATCAAATAATAAAATAAATATATAAGTCACAACGGTCAACAAATTTACATAAAGAATACAATTAACAAAATAAAAGTATTTGGTGATCAAAACTCAACGACAAAAGGGAGAGAGTGGGTTAGTTGAATGGCCATTTTGTTCGCATGTCTGCTCTTTCCTCCACCTTCTTTTTATGCTCGCCGATTTTTCAGACGACCCAAACAATAGATTTCCAATTTATTATTCCATATTCAAATATTATAAAATGAATTAAGTTTCACTTTCACCTACATTTTCTACTTAAAAATCTCCTTTTTCTGTTAAAGTACTTATAAATATGCTTATAACTAAAACCCTTTATCAAAAACTATACTTATAAGTTATAACTATACAATTTGTTAATAATTTGAAAAATAATTGTTTATATTAGTTAGTTGATGTCATACAATTTCAATTTATAGTAAGATACAAAATTCAGATTAGTTTATGATTATGAAACTTTTATACTCTAAACTAAATAATCACAACCATTGTAAAATCATGAAATGAAATAATTTGTTGGAGATATAAGTGGAATTAATCTAACTGGCCGTTAAGTTTTTATTAAATTATAATATTAAATAATTAGTAGTTTAATTGGTTTATCCAAATTAATGGAAAAGACAAGTGTCAATAGTAAAGAGGTTCATATAATTAAAGAGCCCCAACAGAAATGTGAAGCAGCTTCAAAAAAAAATCAGAAAACAGAATTTCCTTTAAAGGTTTTACAGATTTTTTTTTCCTTTCTTCAGCGAGATTGAGCTTTTTCTTTTCTTTTAATGGAAGAATCTCACAGCATCAATGGCGTCGATGACTCATATCGTCATCTCCCAGTTCTCTACTTGACATTTCTAACGATCTGGTCTCTCTCCGCTTGTTCTTGGACGGTTAACACTTTCAAAAATCGCCATTTTCAGGTCAATATCTCAAATCCCTGTTTCTATTTCGATTAAAGTTTGGATTTTTTTCACTCTTGGGTTGATCAAGTTTCTTCTCAATTCCAAACTTCATTTGATTCTCGACTGAAACTTCCTTCATTGCTCACTTGTCGTTAATTCTTCATCGAATTTGAGATGATTCTGTTTTGGTTTTGCCTTCTTAATCTCCTTACTGTCAATTTTGCGTTCATTAAAACGACGATGAAACACAAATTGATTTGATTATGTGTTTGTTTAGAGCAGACAACTAGTTTACAATGGACTCTTGCTTCAGTTCCATTGATCAAAGCTTTGCAGCTAACTCTCTCTTTCCTCTTTTGGTAATTCTCTCTCTCTTTAACCATTTGTGCAGTTAATATTACCATTAATGTTCCTTTATCAAATTAAGAAACTTTCTCTCTAAAATACCATTTTTGTAGAAATCGTTTTCAAAGTCTCTATCTTTATATTAATTGGTTGAACCGGTTTTTTGGTGGGCAGGCATTCATGTTTTCACCACCAAATATGCTCTCTTTGGATGTCTTTTGGTGTATACGTGACCGGTGTTCTGTTTCAGACAGCTTCCTTTGTGTCTTTTTTACTCATCTCTCACGGTTATTGCATCACATGTGAACGTCTCTCATTGACCGAACGTAGAACCACTGCTTCACTTGGTTGTGTCTTTTACTTGACTCTCGTTGGATACAGAGCTTCTGTTCCTTATTTTGCAGTGAGTTTTTCTTACCTTTTCTTTCACTTTACTCATTTGAAAGTTACTGTTTTTGGTTGAACCAATCTTTGCTTTCTCCAGGTGCTTCTGATACTTAACTACATGATCTCATTCTATGTGATTTTCCACCACATATCGCAAAATCTATCGGTGTTAAGAGAACAGCTGAGTTTCATTGAGGATGAGAATGTTCAAGCTATGCATGATGCTGTCTATGCTAAATATATCATGTTCAAGTATGTTCTTCTGTTGCTTTAGTATCATTTCATGGTAGATGGAAATAGATGAAGCTGCTAATTAAGAGTTTGATTTCTTTTTTGTGTGTTTAAGAAAATTCCAAGGAGCTATGCAGATTGTAGCCATGGCAGAAACTGTGGTAATGAGCATATGTTTTATATATGTCAATTTCATATCATGCTAGATTGTTGCTTTGTTGTTTACTCATAGTCCTCTTGTCTTTTGGCAGATCTATATGAACATGGATAATTCCTCAAACAACTATTGGATCCGGCTCCTGATTAGAGAATGGGCTCAGTTCTGCATTTTTCTCTACATTGGGTAAGTTCTTGTCTCACTTTTTGATTTCTCTGTTCTTGCTTTGGTCAAGGGTCTAACAAAGATCCAAACTTTGGCAGTTGGACTTTCAGGTCTCAGGACATGGCACCACGGTTCTCGGTAATGCCCACTCTAAAACCAAGAGATAATGCAATTGCTCCTCCGGTTTATAGCATGGTAAGTCAATTTGTCACACAATCTAATCTTCTTTTGCCTTGTGATATCTTGGATTAAGTAAAAAACTCAAAAGCAATGTTTTTGGTTTGAGTAATGTTCAGGAAATGGACTCAAAGAGTTTCAAAGAATTTAGAAGTCATGAATGGAACATTGGAGTGGTAAGTCATTTCAGCTATATATTCTCTTGTTCCATTTGGATCATCAAGCCAGAGTAATTTACACTGCGATTAAATCTCTGTCTGCAGCCAACGCCGTATTCAGACTACGGAAGGCAAAAAGAATCAGTTCTTGTGATCATTCAGCATCCACGATAGCATTCAGAGACAAAGCAAAGATACAATGTTTCCTCTTCTTGAATCTTCCTAAAAAGAGTGAAATGTTCAACAAAAAGAGAGATTTTTTTTCTTTCTCAGATTAACAAAAAAGGTGCTTCCGCAGCAATTGCGATGTTTTATCCTCACAAGCTTCTCTACTTAATTATCTACGTTTCTCTTTTCATTTTACATCTTTAGTTTTTCTTTTGTTTTCTCTTTTGGGTATTTTATAGAGAAATAAAACCTTTATTTTCTTGTATAGATGCAAAAGTTAATTAGAGTATAATGGCTTGAAGTGAGAATGTAAACATAGTGCTTCATATTGTTCCTTCACAAATGAATGAAAGCATAAAGCTTATATGTGTATAATTATTGATAACAATATCAATTAGAGCCTCATCTTTTTCTACCAGATCTGAGCTAAATACAAGCGTTGACAATAAAAAATTAATGCATGTAAGGTTCCATTATGCAAAATGTATAATTTTTTATTATTGAGTGGAATCTACAAAAGAAAGACTTGACATAGTCTTTTAATAACAATGATTTCACTAATATTATTTTAGATTGAAAGTTATTGTTTGAAGATGGTTATATAATATATAATGACTATACGCAAGAGTCATATATAAATTATATATACAGTTGTAATTTTGTATATAAGGACAGACACCTTCATCTCTCAGTTTATGGTATCACCATAAAAGCGTCCATATGCAGAGGTTTGCTCTCTCTCTAGATATTGGATGAAACAGCTTTCTTATCACCCAAGAAAAACTGTTGATATACTCTTTTCTAATATTTTTTTATTTTATTTCTTCTGCTTTGTGTTTTGTAAATGGTCTTCTACCTAGATTTTTAACTTGTTTAATCCTTGGCTTGAAAGTGTGTTTTTGTTTTTGTTTTTTTTTTCTGTTCTCAGAGGTATATGCCATTTATTTACTAAGAAACAATCCCCTCAACGTTAGAAGATTCAAAACGGTTTAAGATGATCCAAAGGGTGGAAATGCAAGGATGCAGTCGGGGGTATAATGAGTGGGATGATGGATCTGACCATGATGATGTGTCTAAGATATACGTACGAGGTGGTCATTCAGGGATACAATACATCAATGTCGAGTATTACAAGAGTGGACAAACCGTATATGGACCAGTTCATGGTTTTTCGAATGCAGGTTTCACGCAGACGGTAAGAGTAGGAGGAAATTTCAATTAATTAATCTCCATTAATACGCATTTTCATGTGGTTAATTATAATATATTGACTTTATGGATCTTTGTTTATCAAATCCTTGCAGTTTGAGATTGACCATCTAAAAAATGAACAACTTATCTCCGTTGACATTTACTGTAGAGATGGTTCATTGGGTGTTCAAGCACTTCAATTCAAAACCAACTTGAGGGTTTCTGAAATCATGGGATATGAAATTGGTTGTAAAAAGTTTACACTAGAAGTCGAGGGAAAGAAGATCATTGGGTTTCATGGATCTGTTGCATCTCTATTTATTGGTCTTGGAGCATATTTTGATTGGATTCCTTCCACTAGAATGGAAGCCAAAGGGGGAGAAGGAGGCAAGGAGTGGGATGATGAAGCTGACCATGAGGCCATTTCAAAGGTTCAAGTACAAGGTGGTACCCAAGGCATACAGTTCATTAAGTTTGACTACATCAAAGATGGACAGTCAAAAGATGGGCCAGTCCACGGCTTTTCAGATGGAGGTGTCACATTCACTGGATCGGTATGTATTTACAAATTCAAATGATAATTAAAATACAAATAACAAAACTTCGTAATAGTTATAACCCGCGCATTGCACAGACTCAACCCTAGTTTTTATAACAAAATCTCTCCCTATTACTGGATGTTAATGTGGGCAAGAATTTTTCAAAAGTTAAGATGTAAACATGAACACGAATTTAGGGCCTGATTGGTTCTCCCGCTACCACCCGCAAACGCAGCGTTTGCGGTTCGTAGCGGTTTTCGGCGGTTTATAACAATCACGACAACCGCTTTGAATCGCTCTATACCACTCTGTACCGCTCTATATCGCTGAAAATCAAAAGCTCCTTTCCGCAAGCGTTTGCGGTTGCGGGCGGTTGCGGGTGGATAATTAAAAAAAAAAAAAAACACAAACTTATATAAAATCCGAAAATAAATAATAATATTTATTAAAAAATAAGATTTGGATAATAAAATCACAATATAAATAAAAAATTAGTACTTTTAGTCAATATTCATTAAAATCATATAATACTTATATATTTATAAGTTCTACAAATCAAAATTCTCTTCATAAATATTCTTTTCATACTAATACATATATATCTAATAAATAAAATTGTAAAATAAATTTAATTTTCACATTAAATATATATTTTGAAAATAAAATCACATTTTTATTTAAATTATAGAAATTAAAAATAGACGTAAGTATTATACACATATTATTCTTTATAAAAAAATTATTTTTAATTATGTTGAACCATAAATTTAAAATTTTCATTATAATATAGTTTTGATATTTTTATAATTATATAATGTGTTTATATTATTAATTTATTGTTTAACCGCTATTGCATCCGCAAGTGAACCAGTCATAAGTATCCCGCAAACGCATCCATTTTCAATTGTTATGCCAGTCGTACAAACCGCTTAATAACGCTACTAATCACAACCGCCCGCTTCCGCAAACTCCCGCACCCGCAACCGCAACCGCAGCGGTTAAACCAGTCAGACCCTAATTCTTTTATAAATGCTTTTGTCTATACGTCAATATTAACAACACAAAATGTTACTTTAGGTACAATAGTAGGGGCTTATGGTATAAAATTATAAAGTTAGGTTGTCTCGTTCCACTTTCATTATTTGCACTTAAATATTAAAATAAACAAAATGTTCTCACCGTGGTTTTTCTACAGGTTGAGATTAACCATATCGAGAAGGAATATCTAGTATCTATCGAGGGTTTCTATGACGAGGAATCTAACGTGATTCAAGGACTTCAGTTCAAAACCAACATGAATACTTCGGAGATGATGGGATATGATGATGGTAAGAGGTTTTTACTTGCAGCAAATGGAAAGAAGATCATTGGGTTTCATGGATATGCTGACAAGTACCTCAACTCTCTTGGAGCATATTTCACAACTACCCCTCCTATTAAATTGGAGAGCCAAGGTCCTGATAAAGGGTTTATCTGGGATGATGGTGCGTTTGAAGGCGTTAAAAAAGTGTACGTTCATTATGAGAAAAGTTTGATCAACTCCATTGGGTTCGATTGCGACAATGGCGCTGGTCAAGTGAAAAAGTCTATGTACGGGTCCAAGAGTGGAGTTTCTGGACAAGATGGAGAGGTCATAAACTCTTTTACAATTTTAAATATATTGTATATATGTGTTTATGTTTTTTTTTTTTTCTTTTCAAATATAGCTAATACGAAGCCCTTTCTATTGCAGTTTGTGGTAGACTATCCAAATGAATTTATCACATCCGTGGAGGGAATTTTCTGCGAGTTGCTTAGTGCTATTACGTCGTTGACTTTCACTACATCAAAAGGAAGAACTTCTCCAACATTCGGAGGCGTTCCTGACCGTAGATTTACTAAATTCGTGCTCAAGAGCAAAGGGTGTGGTCTTGTTGGTTTCCATGGACGTTATTACACAACTCAGCTCGTTGCTCTTGGAGCATATTGCCGTCCACTGCCTCCTCGTTCTCACTCAGTTAAAATAGAAGAACAAGGTGGTGAAGGAGGAGCTTCTTGGGACGACGGTGATACTTTCGAAGGCGTTAAGAAGGTATTCATAGGACAAGGAGAAATGGGCATCGCGTTTGTCAAGTTTGTGTACAACAAGGATACTCAAGTGTTCTTTGGAGATGACCATGGGAACAAGACAATGATTCAATCTAAAGAGGTTTAATTACTAGTTCGCAAATTCTTGCTTGTCCCTATTCTATAAACTTGTGTTCTTGATGAAATTTTGTGTTCTTGTTTTTGGCAGTTCGAGCTGGAGTATCCAAGTGAATACATTACATCAGTGGAGGGTAATTATGGTAAAGTAAGTGGAAATGAATCCGAAGTTATGCTTATGCTAAAGTTCACGACCAACAAACGCACATCTCAAGTCTTTGGACTAGTAGATACAACATCAAGCTTCTTACTCCACAAGGATGGTTACAAAATCGTTGGTTTCCATGGAAAATCCGGTAACATGCTTCATCGAATTGGCGTCCATGTCATGCCCATCTCCCACCACCACCACTGATCAATAATGAAACCTATTCTCCACCAACTTTGATCATATTATATGCACACACAAAAAGAACTTTGATCATCTTCTTTAATGATCTCCTATCTTTAATTTATTTCCTTCCATATGCTGTTTGGTTTGTTGTTTTGTTTGTAATCTCTTTCCAAAACATATTTTTCAAAACTAATTTTGTGCCTCTTGCTTTTCCTCCAAGCACAACATAAGTTACAACATTGTCCTAGATCCTATAGAACAACAACAACAAAAAAACGAACAAAAAAAAACAGTAAACAACCTAAATGCATTGTTGATGAATCATCACAAAGATTCCATGGCAACATCATCTGCATCCTCTTCCTCAACCATCTCATCTCTAAACAGAGTCTTGAAATAAGGTAAAACTCTAGGAAGAACTTGCAAATCCGCCATGTTTATACTCATCAAATCAAAGGCAATGCAAGTGTTGTGCATATGCGTCTCATCAATCACCGGAATCTTTGGATACCTCTGGCTAAAATGCGTCAGAACAATCCTATACACACCAGCCGAAGATCCCACATCGATCGCTTCTTTAGTCGTGCTGTGGTTCTTCGCCAAAGCGTCTTCTATCAACGCATCTTCAAACGTCGCCTCGTGTATAAGAATGGTTGCATCTCGTGACGCTTCAACTGTCTCTGGACAAGGTCTTGTGTCGCCTGAGTAAACCATCTTCCATCCCGGGATTCGTTCTCCAACGCTGTTTAATCTCTCCGCTGCTTTCACAACGACACCAAAGGCTTGAGGACAGTGAACAACAGGGAAGCTAATCAAATCCTCCAAACCGATTTCGCCAAGAACCTTCTTCAGATTCTTTAAACTTGGCACAACCGAAGCATTATCTGTCTTGAAGACGCTCTGCATAGGACTTCCTTTACTAAACAAAGAACCTTCCTCTGCATTGCTGCTCTCACTGCTTTCTAAAGAAGCCCAAGAAGTTGTTGTGGTGCTTCTACAATCAAGAAACTCCATATCTAAATCCTCGAGTCTTTGATATGCGTCAAGAAATCTTTTCAGTGACCTCGGTCCCACCACAACCGCTGGCTCGTGAGCCACTCCTTCCAAAAGCTTGCATCTACGAGCAAGAATCGTGGCAAGACCAGCGTGGTGATCTGCGTGGATGTGAGAGATCCATACACATCTCAGTTTTCGAACCGCCTCATCCGCACCATCTAAACCGTATCTTCTTTTAAGCTGGCCTAAGGTTCCTTCCCCACAATCTAAGAGAAGACTGCCTTTAGAGAACAAGTCAATGTAAATCGCAGTAACGTTTCTGTATTTGGAAGGCTGAGACGAGCCAGTGCCTAGAAGTACAACCTCCATGTCGTCACGTCTAATGTTTTCAAGACAGCTTGGAAGAACAGTGTTGCTCTCAGTCTTGTTGTCTTGTATGTTCCACAACTGCTTGATCTCTTCGGTTGTTTCTTGAATCTCTGGAATTTCTGAAAGTAGCTCATCTACTACTTGTGAGGATGTCACTTGAGGAGGGATACAAGATCTGTCGATCCCAAGAGTAGCATGAGGACGCAAAGTAAACTGCACACACAGGAAGATTTGGTTTTAAAGAGACTTCAACTTCTATGATTTGAAACCTAAAAAGTCTGAGAATGATAATACCTTGAGGAGATTTTCAGCAGAAATGCTTTTACCAAGATTTGAGAACTGTAAGTAGAAAAATAATACACATCATTACTTAACTAAATTTCAATAATCAAACTTATTCAAAGAAAAGCAATTAGCAACCTCATCTAAAGGAATAGAGTTAGAAGGAGGCCAAAAGCCAGGAGCAGGGAAAAACTGTGGACATAAGTAGTTAAGTCTAGCCGCGATTCTCGAACTTGCTTTCAGAATTGGAAACTCCATATTAGTCCTGGACATAAAGACACCAAGCGAGAACACATTAGAACAAAACAGTATTAGTGATGAGAGTTACAACCAAAAACAAGAGGAGGAGCCAAACCTTTGATGGCCAGCAAGAATATGTTGAGCAGAATGAAAGTTCTTCATCCAGCTCAGGTAAGTAGTACTACTTGTTACAGAAGACGGACTTAAATGTATAATACAATGTACAACTTTCCTTCCATCAGCTTGATCACCACCAGAACATGAATAAAAACTCTCCAAAGACTTAACCGACAACAGTTCTGCAGCGTGCAACTCTGTTGGACAATCCACAATGAGAACAACGGGACCAGGAATCGAAGGTCCCATCACGTCACTTGGATATACCTGAAGATCAAAAAGCATGAAGAATCAATCTCTTCACTCAAAGAAAAGAACAAAAAGATGTTATAAACCAACATACATACCGTTATATCTTTTTCATCTGACTTCACTGATTCACCAAACTGAAGTTTACTGTACTTTGGACCAGGCCTTACACCAAATACATTCTTGGCCTTTTGTATGTCAAACTTCCCCAGTATTTCAGGTAATTCACATACGTACACAACTGAGATCTCACTGGGTTTGCTGCAAGATTCTTCTTCCTGAGAGCGAGATGGTTCTAAGGTAATTGCGGATATTTTCACAACTTCGTCATTCACAAGAACAATGGGGTCAGGTGAAACAGAGGGACCAAAGCTCCGTGTGTGAACCATAGCCGCACGTGGAATAAACGTCATTGCATCAACTAATAGCTTGAGATCTGAAGGACCCCATACATTCACCTTTTATAACAAAAACAATGAATAAGATTTCAACAAAGAAACACACACACATAGACACAAAATATGATAAGAATACTCACTGAAAGCCCTTCTTCACCAATACCAGCAAGAGTTAGTAGAAGACCTATGACATCAAAGCAAGAATTTTTTTTAGAATTATACCTTAAACTAAAAGGTCAAGCAAGAAAGACACACAATTCAAAGCTGGAACAAACCTGGAAGTCCTCCTGCTGTCTCTGAGCAGACACGAGACAAGAATATATGATCTATCTGTACAAAAAAGTTCAGAAAATCATCAAATTTCAAACTCATCTCATCACACACACACACACATAGAAACAGAGGAGCTTTAGTGATATTTACCTTTGATAATTTAATTTTATGTTCTGTACAGAAACGTTGCAAGCCCTGAATATACAACAAATTGACCAGTAAGTGATCAAGGATTATACAATATACTAAAAAGTTAGAAACAATCAGTAAAAAGGAGATTTTTTACCTCTCCAGCATTAAAGATGAATCTTTGTTTGTCAAAGAAGAGCAATACAGAGGAAGATGTGTCTTGTGTATCCATTCCCGTTCCAAGTATCTAATTTGGTTCAATTTTACACGACAAGTTAAGATTTTTGAGGAAGAGGAAAATTAAGAGTTTCAATAGAAAATTGGAAAACGAGAGAGTCTGTAATGTAACCTGTGCGTAAGCTATAGTGTTGGGATTGAGCTTGCGGGATTTTCTTTCGAGATTCTTCTTAGTCTTGTCGATTTTGTCAAATCCTTCAGCTCTTCTCTTGTTAAACTCGAAAGTAGAAGACTTGGAACCATTAGTGGCTTCTTTCTTCTTCATTGGAAACGAAGAAGACAAGGATCGCGGAGCAAAGGGTCTGAGAGAAAGAAGGAAAGAAGAAGACTTTAGAGGAGAAGAGAGGAGAAAGTGTAGGTTTTTGGGTAAATAGAGCATTGTGTTTAATTTTGTTTATCATCTCTGAAGAAAAGAAACTCAAGTTTTCTCTCTTTCGCCGCCAATAGGGTTTTAGGAGCCAAGTCAAAAGATTTAATAATTACTTTATTATTTTAACATTTGATAAATAAACAACAAGCTTCAGTAGCTCAGTTGGCTAGAGCGTGTGGCTGTTAACCACAAGGTCAGAGGTTCGACCCCTCTCTGGAGCGTCTTTTTTTTCATTTTTTTCCCATATTTTAAGCTGGACATGTTTATTCATATGAAGTTATGAACCAATAACCAATGTATCTAAGTTGACAAGAAAAAAAGATATTCATACAATCACTTTGCACAACCAAACCAAACTCAAACAAAGCAAAGATCAAGAAAAAAGAAAACCAAACTAAAAAAACAACAACACAAGAATCATACATAATTTAAATTTATAATCAGAGTTGTTTTAAGCAGAGGAAATAAGAGGAACACGCTCGGATTCGGTCTCGTCGGTGCTGGACTCGGTGATAAAAGCGTTGGAGTAGACAACTCCAGCTAGACCACCACCAACAAGTGGACCGACCCAGTAGACCCAATGTCCTGAAAAGTCGCAAGCTGCAAGAGCTGGTCCAAAGGAGCGAGCAGGGTTCATGGAACCACCGGAGAATGGACCGGCGGCGAGGATGTTAGCACCGACGATGAGTCCAATAGCAAGTGGTGCGATGGTTCCGAGAGAGCCATTCTTGGGGTCAACGGCTGTGGCGTAAACGGTGTAGACCAATGCAAATGTGATTATGATCTCCATCACGACTCCTTCAAAGGATCCTACTCCAGCAGCAACGCTGTGAACTGGAATGGCCTGCGTTTTCCATAATTTTGGATTTGTTAATATAATAATATTCAAGAAAAACAAATTTCATAAATATATGGTCGTAAAAAAAATTAACAAAAAAGAGAACCATCATACTAAGCTAATATATGTTGTAACAAAATGTAGATTATTATATGAAACATGAAACTTGATTATTTAGACATCTAAAACCACCGGTGACAAATAAAAATTTTGCGCAAATTTTTGGATAAAGAAGTTAGAGAGTAGTAAGACCATACCAAACCACCGGTGACAAATTTGAGCAAGTAGCAAGCCACCGTGGAGCCAAGAAGCTGAGCAACCCAATAGAAAAGTCCGGTAACGATTTTCAATTTTCCGCCGAGAACAAGGCCAAAAGTGACGGCTGGGTTGACATGACCACCGGAGTGGTTAGCTGCGATCGAAACCGCCACAAAGAGGGCAAAACCGTGGCAAATTGCAATTGCCACTAGCCCGGACGTATCAAGCGCCGCATTCTCCGTTATCTTCGCTATATTATACAAATGTTATCACATTCGTTAAGTATTGACCCATAGGTACGTTTTTCTATTTGTTATAAGGAGCTCATAGTTACAAACTAGGATACTAAACATGATAAAGATAAATATTTTGGTACTGTGGAAGTAACAAATAAAAACTACGTTAGAGTTATCGATAAATGAATTCTGATCATATTTGGTTGGTCAACGAACTTATATCATAAATAATGCGGAATATGAGATGTTTTGAGGTTGCATGAGAGATAGAGAACGAACCAAAGGCAATGGCGGAGCCAACGCCGGCGAAAACAAAGAGGAGAGTGGAGATGAACTCGGCGAGGTAAGCTTTCAAAGAGACCAATTTAAAGGATTCTTCATACGAAAAGTCAAGACAGGCCATTGTTGAAGCCTTGAAGGTGTAAAGAGGTCAGAATAAGCTAGTTTCCTCTTAATGAAGATGAAGACTACTTGACAATACGAAGCACAAAATGACCTTTTTCATGTCCAACTATATATAAGAGCATATTGTTAATCATCGGTGCATAATTAAAATTACTAATTTTAACAATACAAGTGTTTTGTAGTGCGTTGAACATGAATTCTGATGATTGGTTTCATTTCCTATTATATGATTATACGTCATGGCCGGTTTTAAGAAGGTTGTTATGATAACGACATGAGTGATTGAGAACAAAATACGTGACTAAATTACCTAATTATCAAAAAAAAAATATAGATCAATACATCGTAGAAATTTAACTACGGGATTGGTTGTGAAGCTGCCAGATATTAATATTGAACCCGAATTCATGCTTTATCAGTATAGTTATCACTTATCAGTGTATATATATATATATATATATTGATTTTTTCTTGAAAGACTTATACAATCATATTTATTACACAAACATTTACGCAAACATGTTACTTGGACAAAGCAATTTACAATATGCAACAATATTTGTTCTTTCCTCTCCCTTGTTTATATAATAAGTAAAACACATTTTCATGGCAAGATGCCAAAACATAATAATAGTAATCACTTAAACCGCCGGTTAAAACGCCATATATAATTGAGGGTTTAGTGGACCCAAATTTAATTGGAGAGGATAACAAGATAAAGATGCGAATGTTATGGATACATACGGATCAAAAATGGAAAAAATGGGAGGGGCCGTATATGAGCTGTGACCAACGTGTAACATATCTTGATCGTATAGTGTCCAATGATCTTCCATGTGATTAAGAAGTTTCGTCGTACTTGTGAAACCTAATTAAAGCTGTGGCGTATAGTTTCCTTCCGAATTTAGTTCAAGAATTTACCAAAGATACTGTAAAACATAATGACGCTGAATTTACCTTTTTCAGATTGTTCTTGTCCATGCTCTCTTCAAAGAAAGATAAAAAAAAGTCAATCCTCGGCCTTACAACATACTCCAAAGGTCGTAATCATTGTATCTATTCATACTAAATCGGCAGATGGGAGTAGTATATATGATTTTAATCATTTTATTGGTAGATACAAGTTAAAGTCTTAAACATATTTAAAAGTTAAATGGCTGGAGATTAGGTGGTCCTTAATGTGGAGGCTGAATTATACAAATCTCTAGAATTTTATAATAAGTTTTTGGTGTCTTGCCTACATGAACAAGAATCTTTTCCAAATTAAGAGATGTTGACTTTTTTTTGTTTTACTACTTTACTCTTGTTTTTGCCAAGAGTTTAGTACGTACTATTTAAGTATTAACTTTTTAGTTGATAACATGATATATTTGTTAAAAATAAGAAAAACATGATATCTTTGTTGTATAAGTTGTAAAACTAAAGTTTTCGAAATTGAATATTTTAGGGTCTGACAAAGTGATCTCATGCATGAAAGTAAATACAAAAAAATGAAGGTTGGTTTTGGTTATTAAGAGTAATATGATTATTCTAGGTCTGTATTTGTTTGCCCAATAGATTTTTTCTTATCTTAATACATTTTTAGTAGTTTATTTCAGTGGTAGTGATTGATCGAAAAGAGAGAAAAAAGTTGCAATTCTGAATACCTAAGTCGTAGTGAAATCGGCAACGACTGAAAGTGAATATAATCTTACGTTGAGGATGGATCAACATCATTATCGCTAGCCTCGAATTTTTTTGAATCTCAGATCCTAACCTTTCATGTGACCAAAATGCATGGAAATAACTGGACAACCTTTATGGCTATTTCACTCAATTCGTCAACTACGAAATCAAAACCTTATAGAATCCCTCATATATAACTTCGTTACCTCTTGATCAGTCGTTTAAATTGAAAAAGAAAGAAGAACAGAAATCAAAAGCAAATGTCATTGCGATTCTACAAATGTATCTATCAAACCGATCTTGCAATCATTCACTTAACTCAGTATGTTACTAGCTGCTTGCTACTAACCGATAGAGCATGCGCCACGCAGCTTAAAAAGGCCGAGACCTAGTATATAAATATTAGATGGGTTTAGGCCCATTATAACTAAAAATCTCATTCGTTAACTTCTTGTTGTTTGGTGTGATAATGGCAGAGTAGTTTTATTTTGGAAAGTAGTCAGGCTCGCATGTTCTAAGCATGGAAATTTAGATAATGAATTTGGTCTAATGAATAATATTCTGATGTAGATTGTGCAGTGAATATGTTGTAAACCGATAAAATGTTTTCGGATGGTAATTTTCTATACTTTTCTCATGTTGGTTTACAACTACGAATGTATCAGCTTGAATTTATAAATACCGAATTCAGTTATCTATTATAGGAACTCAAATTTGTCTCGAAATTACTACACACAAGCTAAAAAGACAGTTGATGTCTCTATTTTTGGTTGTTTACATCTCTTACTTTCATTCTTCTCTTTCCTTAACTCATTTCGTTATTTTTACAATTTTCTTTTAAAAATAAATCTTTTTCGCTATCACGGGCAATGTTTTCTTCAAGTCTCAGGTTTTCCGTGATTGATTTCATTATCATTATTTTAGTTTTTTCTTTAAATGGAAACAACTATATCCCGGAATGATTTTTCAACTATGAATCATCGGTGTTGCGCGAGGAATAAAGTAGATGACATTTAATGCTCCATGAAAAACTTCTACTTAATTATTTGAAACTTTCAAATAATTATCTAAGATTGGGAATCTTTTTCAAATAAAACTCTTACGGTACATTATCACTTTAAGATTTCTATGTTTCTTTCTTGCGTAAATACTCTCTTTTCTATCAATAATTTATCATTCTGCATTTGCTAATGTTCACCACAAGTATTTGTGAAACTGCACTTTTGTTATGGTTTTGGATGAAGAACTCGGATGAACTGAAAGCATAAAATCAATAAAGATAACGATTGAGGCACCATTTTTCATTTTTTCTAGGACTTCTTAGCAGTTTTTTTTTTTTAACATCAGTATTTGTTTTTCATTAACTTTATGACTCTGACTCATGACTCTAATGAGATGTTACCATAGTTTTACTCTGCTCTCATTTGCAGTACACTTGAGTCATTGAAGATATAAAAATCAATTAAAGTAAAAAGTATATCAATGTGGTGTAGGCTAATGTAGAAGTGTAATGCTTATCCTTAACCTACTCTCTCTTGTTGTCATCCACTGTGTATGCTTCACTTTGTACCATCTGATTTTTTAGGGGCCCTTTATAATTCATTAGGTTTGACTAATATTCCAATTTGATCTTATGATTGAAAATCCATTTTACCAAACACCTTAGTGTGACAACACTCGAGATATTATAGCCCATAACAAAAGAGAATCTTCTTATCTTTTTGTCGTCCTTTTATTAACCTAATCATCCAGAGAGAATGTCTAAACTCTAAACGACATTGGAAACGCTATTTATGACTACATTTATGTCGAAGCACACCCCTACACGTCCTGGCAAAATGGAATTGAAATCTATAGAGTTAAAAACATGGACTCTACACAATTCTTTTTTTGCAAAAAAAGGGCTCTACACAATTCTTAACTCCATATGTACACGTTCATAATACTTTTTAAATTATTTGAAGGGGCGTATAAAAGGAAAAAAAAAAGGATTAAAAATGGACTACTAGAAATAGTAATTTTTTAGAATATGTATGATAGTTGTCTACCATCATAATTTAACCACTACCATCGTCCATGTGATGTTTACTACATATTACACATTTTAAATGTCTACTTTTAAAAAATAGTTATAATTAAGACATTGTTGAAGAGCTCCAATTGTAAATGTATCATGATCATTCTTTATATTTAATTAACTAGCATCTAATGTGATTTTCTAAAGAGGCATGTTCACCACAAATACTTGACTAAATCACTTGTAATAATAATAACAAAAAAATTGGTTTATAGATGTCGACAGTTTAAAACGTCCAGAAGTTTTAATAGACCATAGATATGACATATGCGAGAAGAGAGGACAAGAGAGTTGAAAGTCAAAGACATGGGTGCGTGCATTTAGACGAAGGACAGGCAAAAGAACCCAAAACAAATGCACGTTATTTTTCAACCACTTGTTTTGCAAATGAGATGAAATCGCAAACCCCCAGCGTTAGCTTCTTGTTATAAGAAAAATCTGCAATCGATGAATGAAGATTTACGTAATTTTTAAAGAACGTTTTTTCTTTGTATCTGTATAGAACGATGGAAATAACCAAGGCAATGGCGAAGAATATGAATGAATAAGTGAAAAGGAATGAAGAGAATTAATGAATGTATTGAAGAGAATAAATTATGTGACACTTAATCACTGTATAATGACGTAGTCGTTAATCGTTATATGGGATTCTTAATATTACCAATTACGGTCATGGTATTAGAGTGTATCAACACCACACAAAGACGCATGGACACAAAAGAGGAAGAAGACATAACCTAATTATTGTGTGTAAAAGGAGAAAGTGTGAAGTGATTGAAAAAAATACAATAAATTAATAGAGATAAAGCATTAAATCTTACAAACATGTTTGCAGGAGAGTGGGTGAAAATTGAGTCAGAACTTAGAAGAACTGAGACAGACAAAAAACTATTTTTTGAGTAAAACAATGGAGAAAGTATGAGTCTGAACTCTGATGAACTCTGACAGAAACTTTTTTTTTTAATATTTGTTTGGTGAAACAAGTAATGAAATAAATTCGGGCTAACGTGCAATTCAAGCAATCTTTCAGTGATAATGTATTCATTTATTCATATACTACAGTAAGTCTTCCCCACGATCGATCCACAACATCAAAGTTTACAATATAAAAAAGAAAAGAATGTGTCCAATAAATTTAGCTTCTGTCAACTTAGGTTAAGATGTTTTAGCATAAGATATTTATATTTTGTGTAATCCGAATCAATTAGGATGAGATATAAGCTACATACGACTTTCTTGAGGTTGTTCACAATGTA